CTTCAAGTGTACGTGTCCAAAGCCATGGCAGTATGAGCCCATGCTGAAAAATGTCAGTCTCTAATGTTAGAACCTGTAGTGGAACCTTGAGGCCTGGTGTAGGCACATTCCACAAATCTTTTTTTTCCCTCTTAGTTGGATTTGGTCCTTCCGCCCAGCTACTGACTGAGCTTTCCTATCAGTCCTTTTAGGCTGCAAATGCAGCTTGCTTTATACACCCGTTGTGACGCTTATGAGATCGTTCAGGATTTATTGCAGGTTCATTTGACCTCCTTCTGACCTGCATTTGATCTACTTCAAGCTGCTTTTGCATTCTCATAGACTTGCATGGGGAAAGAAACTGTTCTGATGTGAACAAAAGCCCATAAACACTGGTGTAACAGGCATCCTCACTGACCCAGAGCAAACAGAAGGGGCATAACTTCAGATGCCTGTATCGCTTGAGCTGCTGATTGTTTGGACATGTTCATTTCAATGAAGGTATCCTCTGCTTAAACGTTCGTCCCTATTATGCTGGGTGCCAGTTTTCCTTTTTTGTAACAGGTTGATAGGGGGCTCCCAACTTCATATGATGTTTTCAGGGTTATTTATTAGGGTAAGTATGTGATGGCTTACTCTGCAGATTTGTTTTTGAACAAGTGCTGTGCATGAATAGAATTTCTTGTAAACTCCAGCCGGTTGAAGAACAATGATCACTTTATTAGTGTATGACGGAAAACATGGCCATTACGTTTCTTCAGGGATTGGGATTCGAGTGTCTGTTGTATCTGCAGTGGCAGAAATACTGCAGGCACAAGAGACACTTCAGAAAACTGTTATCATTTTAGGACACAGACAGTACCCGAGATCAACAGATCTAATACTGCCAAAGCCCCCGAGGAGGCGACGTATCAATCCTCCACAATGCTATGGATATGTTTTATGTCATACACTTTTGTAGTGATCATTGTTCTTCAGCTGGCTATTCTTTCCAAAACGTTCGGTCCATGCACAGTTCTCCTTACTGACCTCCACAATCTCTACTGTATCACTGACAAGGAACGAGTATGGGTATATGAAGTGTCCTCCACCTGATATGCAGAAACTTACTAATTTGCGAATGGCACTTCCAGCAAGTATCTTGATCTACTGCAGATCTATGCAAGGTGACCTCAACATTTGTGATTGGTGATGGATTTATGGTGTCCTGGATTCAGGAATTAACACTGAAACAGAGGTCAACACTTTACGGCCAAGGCTTCCTGCCAACCACCAGTAACAAACAGTTGAAGGGGACTTGTGTCAGTGCTAGAGATGAGCCTGGGCTTGGTCTGAACCCAGTTCCCCCAAGCCTACTCAAAGCTCTGACCGCAACGCTCTCTTGCAGATCCAATCTGTGGTTGCAGTTGGGGAGTTCCCCACCCCTTTGTATATAGCTGTGGCATGAGGAATGCCCTGTCCCTGCAACTGATTGGGTCAGGAGGAGGGGCTAGCAGTCATAATTTTGAGCGGGCTCGGCCGAACTCAGGTGAATTGGGTTCTCACCAAGCCCAGCCTCATCACTAGGCAGTGCCTGGCTGTCTTTCTGGACCTCTTACCTTAAACCCTTGAGTCATTGGTCCAGAACAGGTAATCTGGCAAGGAGTTTTGACTTCATGATCTGCAGCCTTGTTGTGGATCCGTGACTTTATCTGGTGAAACCAGAGGGTCAACATGGTAGGTAGACAACTAGCATTCAGAAAGAGCTTTGCAACAACAGACACCAATATCTTTTCATGGCACGGTTTGTTTTGAAAGAGAAATGTGCCAATTACTGTATTATTCTTGTTTTCAAGATCAGACATTTACAGGATACATTTTAGGAAACCACATTAAAGCAAACATTTCTTTTTTATATTTTGTATATTTGTTTAAGTTTTGGGGTAAATATGAAATGAAAATTACAGACAAATGTTTTATATTTACCTACTTGAAGCGCTACCCTTTGGCTAGAGATAGATTATAACAGTTATTGGGCAATCATTAAGTTGAAAAACAGAAGAGACCAGACTGCTGAATAGATCGGAGCAGGGATACACCATCAGTCTTAGGTATGCGCAGGGTGCCAATAAGCATGCAGGCAAGCACTGGGCTTGAAGAAGGTACAGAATACTTTGCAAAAACATCATGTTAAAATACAGACTTTATACAAATTTACAAAAAAATAAACTATTTGATTAACAAGTAAGTTTCACCCAACACCATTAGTGAGTTGTATGGTAACAAAGCCTGAGGAGCTTCATGTCTTCTGCTGTGGGAGTTGAGGTTGTTCCCTTCCCACTCAGATTTGGATGTTCTGCATCGCTTCATCTCCTCTAACCGTGGTTTGCCAATATATCTGTGCTTGCTTGCTGGCTGTCTGTAGTGTCACCATGTTGTCACCACATCCTTATCACTGTGCTGCCAAGATGATACAGTCTGTTTCCTTTGTAGCCGCGTCATGTTATTTTCTGGTAATGTCTGAAAGCAGATTAGGGACATATATAATAGCCACCTAATATTCGAGAAATACATGTAATTTGTGATTTCAAGACCTATATTTGTTTGTTTGTTGAATGTGATCACACAGAATACCTGAATAGTCTAATAGAATAAAATGTTGGATTGCAGAGCTTGTAATGGGAACCCAGAATGCTTGGGTTGCTATGGGTGGTACCCCCTCTAATAGCCTGCATAGGAGGTGATGTCGTAAAAAATGTGGGTTGTCAGAGCACCTCATTTGCAAGATCATTGCCAAATGTTTTCTGATTTGTCACATGTACCTTTTTACTTTGCATGATGCGAGCAGCCATTTTGCCATGTTGGTGCAGCCTCATTTCACCTACAGCAGGTGTACTGATGGCATATAGAGGCGTATCTTGCAAAACAATTCCTGAAATAGCATTGGGGAGCTTGGAGCCTGAGCTGAGATACGATAGGAAGTGATAGGAAATCTCTCTAATCTGAGGGGAAATTCCATCTCAGACAGTTGTCATGAGAACAGGTTTCCCAATTGAAATATATCTCCCCCAGTTCCGGTGATAACGGCTTTCACTTTCTGGATGTCACTTTCCCTCCCATGCCAGTGGACACCAAGACTAAAGCTTGGCCACACCTTATGTGTTTTTTTTCACGTTCAGCCCCTTGTACTGAATGGATTCCCCCATCTAAGCTAAACAGTATAGATTTGGGGAATCTTCCCTGCCAGTTATTGTATTCTGAGTTGAGTACTGATAGATCTTTTGCTGCAGTTACGGTTCAGACGACAATATTAAGCCTGACTCCTTTGACAATAGTCTATTAAAAAATCATTTTTTCTTGAACAGAGGGCGTCATCAGGGCCGCATACTGCTCAAAATATGTCCAACTTAACAGAGGGTGAATGTCCCTGGGGTACACGAGCAACAATACAAATCTGACTGGTTCTGAGCCCTGCGCATCCCATAACAATCTAAAGTCTATGGCAGCAGCAGTTGTGTCAAAAGCAGGGCCCACAATGATATGAGGCTGGTCATATCATGCCTACATGGCCACCCATAATGGTATGCACGCACACATGATCCTTCTTTTGAACAATGCTTGCTGTTTCATTCAGTGTTCCTTCTGTTTTCTCTCATTATCATTGCACAGAAAAGACAGATCAAAAACCGAATGATACAAAAAAAGCCACTGGCTGTACTGTAAAAGACGGCAGCCAGCTGAATGGAACCGGCAACCTTTTTAAACAGAAAAAAGGACACACTGCTAACATTTGTGTTCAGACAGACAATAAAAAGAAATCTGCCCAGTGCTGTAGTTTCCATTCTGCTTTCAGAAATAAAAAAACCATTGAAGGCATATAAGAGCTGAATTTAAATCAGAACTCTGGGCGAAAATGTTCTTAACCCTTGCAGTGGGGCTATCCCCACACTGCAAGGGTTAAGTGCTTATTTTTGTTTAGGTCCTTTGCTGTAGTTTCCATTCTGCTTTCAGAAATAAAAAAACCATTGAAGGCATATAAGAGCTGAATTTAAATCAGAACTCTGGGCGAAAATGTTCTTAACCCTTGCAGTGGGGCTATCCCCACACTGCAAGGGTTAAGTGCTTATTTTTGTTTAGGTCCTCGGAGCTGGCTTGCTCTTAGACTGGTCCTCGGAGCTGGCTTGCTCTTAGACTGGTCCTCGGAGCTGGCTTGCTCTTAGACTGGTCCCTGGAGCGCCTCTACCCCTCCACTGCAACGGTCAAAGGATGATCCTTGAGTCATCACGCTCGGTACACAGTGTATAGGACATGAGGATACAAGGAACATTCCAATGCTGCAGTGGAGATGGTGATCAGTTTCAAGGACTGGAGTAGCAGCCAGCCGGCTCTGCGGTTTGCGTAAACATTTTTTTTTTATGCACCTAGACAAAAACAAGCACTTAATCCTTTCAGTGCGGGAATAGTCCCCCTGCAAAGGTTAAGAACATTTTTGCCCCGAGTGCTGCTTAAAAAATGATCCAAAAGTTATTCTTATGGCAGAAAGTTGTTGCCTAATGACTCTTATACAGCACATACGATACAAATGATGGTCAGTGGCTTGCTCCTGAGAAGTCATGCTTTGCTGCCCATTAGTGATGTTATTAGCATTTAAGGCCTCCGTGATGTCACCTTGCACCCCTGTATTTAAATGGCTGCCACATCGGGCATAAGGGACAGGTACCTGTTACCCTGGCAAGCTTCTTGCTTTGTGACATTTTCACTGCTTATGAGGGAAAAAGTACCGTTTTAGAATGCTGGTGGTATGGAAGTGTCGGAGTGTAGACAGTGTGAAGATTCACCCTAATAGGAGCACAATGCTGGTGTCACCCTGTACAGGTGTAGAAGAATGTGGTGTGGTCAGAGGGCGCCTGTGTGTTGGTATATGTGCAGTGGATGTTTGGCATGACCTGTAGAGAAGGGGAATTGCGCCGTGATCTGGCTTACAATATCGCGACATACTGTGTTTGGCTAACAGTGAAAGTGATGGCTTTGGTCTTCTGCAGGAATCTCCTTCAATCGATGACGAGCAGCAGAGCGCTTCCTCTTCACAGCCGTGTGCTCCTGGTAGCGAGAACCATGAAACCACAGACAGGTACCATTCTATTTCTGTCCTTCCTCTTCCTTGTTTCTAATCCTGTGACCCACAATAAACATTAGGTTCATGCCCTCCTTCAGTTTTTATTTTCATTGTATCCCTGTAATGTTTGCTCTGCAGTCTTCTTTCTCCGTTATTTTGAAAGCTTAGCTCCAGGCAGACAACTAGAC